AAATGAATAATGTGGCATGAGACTTGTGCAAAGAGCAATCTTTGGTCTTAACTCTACCTTAACTGTGAAGTGACCCTCTTCAAATCTGGTTGATCGATTGTTTGTCATTTTAGTTTATCTCTAGAGGTACAGTTTGTCGTCAATCTGTAAACTCGTGCGATGTTCCGGAGTACTGTAATGGGACAAATGAAGTGGTGAGTGTTGGAACATGATATATTTTAATATTAAATGCAGGGCACCCCCAAAAGTTTGACAGATATGATTTTAGAACGATCATGCACCCAATCCGAATAGACCTTAGTTTTTCATAATGGTCTAAAGATGATGTGAAACGGATGGGGCCAATAAATGTAACATCACTGCGGATCAGTTGCGAAGCAACATTTGTGAGTCTTTGTGGTTACTTGAGTGTGGGGTGAGTGTGGGGCAGTTAAACAATGGGAAATGACCAGCCTGCTTTGTGCACACTGTTTGCTTGCGAATCGGGCCTTCAAGAACCGGAAATCGGGCTGGAACACGCGTTTGTTCTTTTGATTTGGCAAAAGAAGCACGAGAAATGGGTGAAATGAAGGTGAAATGGCAAAAATCGCACGGTACTCGGTTTGCAAAAACAACTGCAAACTGCTCTAATTCTTTCTGTCACTTTCATTTGGTTTTATCCGTGAGTCGGCCTCAACGGCCTTCGATTTGAATTGGCTGTATCTACAGAAGGTAATTTGCGGTGGTTTTCAATGGAGTCTAATCATTTGGTGAAAAATTAATTTCACTCTGAATGCCTTAACCGCTTGGCCGGAACCATGGATCGAGCCCAAGTTGTTTGATTTAACGTGCCAGCACTAATAAAATTTATATTCTTTGTCATATCATATTTTAGTGTCCTGCTGATCTGGTAACGGTGAATGGCATATCCTGTGATAATAATCAGGTCGGAGAAACAGCTCATATTTTTTCCTTACCATTGTATTAGTGCGTTCCAGTAAGTGTTACGAGACATGTAACTTCCGGAACGTTATTTTCAGCTAGCTATTTCTTTTGTAATTTTTTCTTCTATAGGGGTATTGTCACGGGGGAGAATGTAGAACTCATGATGACCAATGTGATCAATTATGGACTGGTAGTAAGTATCTGGCTTAAGGTTGCTCAATTCACTTTTTAAAAAATGGAAAATCGGAATTTTTAAAAATTACTCCTAACAGCGGTTGCTATGGCAACAATGGCGTTTCAATATGGTAGACATTTTTGGTTTTAAAGCCGTAATTTTATAACTCGAAAATATGGTCGGTGATCCCCATTTTTAATTTTATAACGTGATTTCTTTTAGTATTTTGAATCATATTCGTGATTTAAAAAAAATTTTGTTATGCCAAAATTTTTCAAGATAGGAAAATGTAATAATTCGTAACAAAAATTGTTTTGCATGCCAGAATTTTTTAAAATTATAACAATTATTCGAAATACTAAGCTAAATCATTTTATGAAATAAAAAACGGGGGTCACCGACCTTAAGTTAAATAACTTTAAACCCAAAATATCCGCCATATCGAAGCGTCATTGTTGCCATAGGCGTACGGAAAGGGGAAAATTAGGGGACGGAAAGAAATTTGCCCGACTTCTTCCCATTGTGCCCCCCCCCCCCCCCCCC